CACGTCCATCAAGTACTTTTGGTTCAGCTAGCAAGGAAACAACCGGGTACAGCAAAGAGAAAACAGTTAAACAATCCTGGTTCAGTGAAAAAGATAAGGAAGAGTTGTTACAAGTGATTAACCAATTCAGGAAGACCAACACAACATGTCAATCCTTAGAAGAACAGAACCAAGAATCATTCACTGCTGTCTCAGAATTTAAGATGGCAGAACCAGAACCGGAATCAGCTGCAACTATTCAAGAAGAACAAGACAAAGCAACATCACCTATCCTTCATAAAGAAGAGCAGCCTGTTCAGAACGTCATGGTTCCCTTCAGACAATACATGGTAGCAGAGGAGACTCCCAAGGAACCAAAAGCAGATCAAGGAATGATGCAACTGATTGTCTTTGATCCATGTGATTTCCAAAAGACTTTCTTGGGTACCTTTCTGATCAGTCCTTTTGTTTGGAACAAGACCAGAGAAATGAAGCTTCCAAGACACTAATTGGTCATGAAGAATGATGTATTTGAGCCTGGAGGAGAGCTGTGTAATCTCAGGAACAAGAACGAACCGATTGAGAAAGAACCAGCTGCAGCAACATTTGATTTTATTGATTTTTCATCCTCTAAAGATAAGGTGTTGCACGTCTCAGTTCAGCAAGAGTTTCACTACGAAACAAATTGGAGAATGTTACCCACTCAGTTCTTGATCCAACCAACCAGACAACTCATCAAATGGCCTCCTGATCATCCAGATATTGCCAATCTTGCAAAACATATCGGTTTGGAGCAATTCCGAGAGATGCTTATATCTGATTGCGCTGGAATGATCCAGACCTACTCATGGAGACCCGGAGCATATGTAAGAAAGATTATCATCCTTGGAAAGTACTATTCTCGTGCTAGAATCAGTTTGGTTCATAAAGAGTTGGGAGTTGATCAAAAGGCCTTGATTCTTGACCATATCAAGATATGGAAGCCACCAGATATGCATCAGCTTCAGTACTACTGCAGAGATTATCAGATCATGATGGGAGATAGAGGAGTCAATAGAATATTGGTGAAGTGATCACTGGATCAGGAAAAGAACTCATGTCGTCTTCTCAAATCAAAGAAA